GTCTTTTTGTGCATATATGTGTTGGTTTATATGCAATTGTTTCCTGGGATGGCTATTGTACTATACAGTTTAATAGGTGGTAGATGAGCCACTGTGAAAGAACTGGGGCTGTTTATCAGTTTTGCCCCATACATTGGCCTCCAAACTATTGTGTGAGTAGACAGTTATAATGCTACTTTGAAAAGACCAATTTGCTTAAACATGTGAGTAATAGGAATAAAAATGTACAGATGTCCCAAGTTTAGCACTTACTGTATGTCCATATGCCACACACCTAGAAAGCTTTTAACGTTTCACCTTTTAATTATTTTGGACAAGCACCAAGAGCTTGGTTTTCTCATGACTCATATTCTTTAGAGTTCTGTGATCCCAAGTCTTTTTCCAGATCCTGAGCTAAAAGTCACTCAACAGCCTCAGTATGAAAAACTTACAAATGACCAAACATACCTTTGCCAAGATTCTGCAGCCTTAATGGGAAGGAACTTTACAGGTTCTGCTGACTACTGCTATGTCAAGGATGAAAGTTTCTGCAATTGAGTCACCAGGTAAAGAGATGACACTTTTTGGTAAAATAAGCTGTTTCCTAAGCTCAATGGAGCCTTCCAACAAGAAAGGTGTTTGTTATTTCTCTATATGCTGGCCTTAGCATTTAAGCTTAAACCCAGCTGGCCACATGTGTTTTATGTAGTCACTAGAGATGAGCGAATTATTCAAAAATTCGATTCGGCTGATTCGCCGAATTTCAGGAAGAAATTTGATTCGATGCGAATTAATTCGCTACGAAGTTAACTTATAAAAAGGGTTTCTAGGCTTCAGAGAGCCTTTAAATTAGTGCAGAACACTGTACCTTTAATTTAAATGCCCTTGGAGATGAGGAAGGAGAAGGAGAAGGACGAGAAGAAGGAGAAGGATGAGAAGAAGGAGAAGGATGAGAAGAAGATGGATGAGAAGAAGGAGAAGGAGAAAGGAGAAGGATGAGAAGAAGGAGAAGGATGAGAAGAAGGAGAAGGATGAGAAGAAGGATGAGAAGAAGGAGAAGGATGAGAAGAAGGAGAAGGATGAGAAGAAGGACAGTTCTGTGACAGTTTCTGTCTATTTCTGACAGTTCTGTGACATTCACTCCATACAGCGGTTTCAACCGCTGTATGGAGTGAAATGAATGTCCCAGAACTGTCAGAAATAGGCTATTTCTGACAGTTCTGTGACATTCACTCCATACAGCGGTTTCAACCGCTGTATGGAGTGAATGTCACAGAACTGTCAGAAATAGCCTATTTCTGACAGTTCTGGGACATTCACTCCATACAGCGGTTTCAACCGCTGTATGGGGGTGAGTGTCCCAGAACTGTTAGAACTGTGTATCTTATTCTTATTTTCATCCTACTTCTTCTTCTTCATCTTCTTCTTCATCCTCATCCTCATCCTCTTCTTCTTCTTCTGAGGATGAGGATGAAGATGAGAAGAAGAAAATAAGAAGTAGGATGAAAATAAGATTAATTCCAAGCCGGCAAAAAGTGTATCTGCAGAGCTCCTCTAAGTGTATATCTGCAGAGCTCCTCTAAGTGTATCTGCAGAATAGAGGAGCTCTCTGCAGATACACTTTTTGCCGGCTTGGAATTATTCTTATTTTTTCATCCTACTTCTTCTTCTTCTTCTCTTCTTCATCCTCATCTCCCTCAGAAAGAAGAAGAAGAGGATGAGGATGAGGATGAAGAGGAAGAAGAAGTAGGATGAAAATAAGAATAATTCCAAGCCGGCAAAAAGTGTATCTGCAGAGCTCCTCTATTCTGCAGATACTCGATACTTTAGAGGAGCTCTGCAGATACACTTTTTGCCGGTTGGAATTATTCTTATTTTTCATCCTACTTCTTCTTCTTCTTCTTCATCCTCATCCTCTTCTTCTTCTTCTGAGGATGAGGATGAGGATGAAGAAGAAGAAGAAGAAGAAGTAGGATGAAAATAAGATTAATTCCAAGCCGGCAAAAAGTGTATCTGCAGAGCTCCTCTAAGTGTATCTGCAGAGCTCCTCTAGTGTATCTGCAGAATAGAGGAGCTCTGCAGATACACTTTTTGCCGGCTTGTGGAATTTATCTTATTTTCATCCTACTACTTCTTCTTCTTCTTCTTCTCTTCTTCTTCATCCTCATCCTCAGAAGAATCTGAAGAGGTGATGAGGATGAGGATGAAGACGAAGAAGAAAGAAGTAGAATATATGAAAAAAAGAAGAATGAGTAGGATGAAAATAAGAATAATTCCAAGCCGGCAAAAAGTGTAGCTGCAGAGCTCCTCTATTCTGCAGATACACTTAGAGGAGCTCTGCAGATACACTTAGAGGAGCTCTGCAGATACACTTTTTTTGCCGGCTTGGAATTATTCTTATTTTCATCATAATTCTTCTTCTTCTTCTTCATCCTCATCCTCATCCTCTTCTTCTTCTTCTGAGGATGATGAGGATGAAGAAGAAGAAGAAGAAGTAGGATGAAAAATAAGAATTCCAAACCGGCAAAAAGTGTATGTGCAGAGTTCCTCTATTTCTGACAATTCTCTGACAGCTTCTTCACATGTACAGCGGTTGAAACATCTGTATCCTAAATGGAAACTAATAGATACAATGTTTTCAACCGCTGTACATGTGAAGGAACTGTCAGAGAGAAATGTCAGAAAATAGCGGAGCTCTCTGCAGGGACAATTTGCCGGCTGATCGGGAAAAAATCCGATTCGCGCACCCGAAGTAGGCAAATATTCGGATTCGACGCGAATCGAATTTTTTCCTGAAATTCGTATCGAATTCCGGTTCGCCTTGTTCGATTCGCTCATCTCTAGTAGTCACCATGGATCTCATACAAGCCCTCTGTTAGGTGGAAAGTGGATGTCCTTTTTATCCTGCTTCTGCTTCCAGCTGTTCAAGCTCCATGAAACAACAATGGTTTGGTGCAACTAGACATTACTGTTGTTTGGGTGTGTAGACATATTCCTACAACTGCCTGAGAGCACTTCCATCGAATGTGATTTACTTTTAAATGGACTCATAGTGGGTATACTGTCCCTTCAGGGATACTTTGTGTAGTAAGAACACTTCACATTACTGGAGAAATTAGCCTTATCCCAATCCTGCATTTTTTTTATTGAATGACTTATTAGGTGATTACATTAATGTAGGGTTAGAAAAATGTTTTCTTACTGGTACATAGTAAGCAAAAGCCTGTTTGTGTTGAGTAGATAAACACACTACTTTAAAATGTATTCTTGATTATATTGTGGATTAAATTTCCTCTTTGGAAATTGCTCTAACTCAGGGGTGTTTGGGAGTCATGCTTGTAACTGTCAATCTTGTAATGCCTCATGGGACTTGTAGTTTGGCAACAGCTGGAGGGCCACCAGTTTGACACCCAGGACTGTGGGTAAGAAAAAAGGTATATGTACACACTCCACATATATACATATATATTTGATTGGTTCTTCCTCTAATGAGCAGCAGCATTTATATTTAGATTATATATATATTTTTTTTTTTGGCGCATGTTTATTTCATTTAAATAAAGAAGGCATGTCCTCCCATTGAAGGCAGATGCCAGAACCTGAACCTTTGTAAATTGTGTGACCAGGAAAACTACTAACAGTTGACAAACTCAGGAAAGGCATGATTATATATACCTTCGACTAGCTATACCATGACCTGGATAAATGAGAACCTTCACAGACACAACTTGGAGAAATGTGAGATTTGTGAGATGTGAGATTCTAAAAGGAATACATATAAAAAACTGGCATACAATTGTATAAATTATTTTAGTCATTGTAGTACAGCAGATACAATCACCTGCTATATTTTCAGGATCTATATTACAGAAATGCTTGTATTAGAATCAAGTCCATAATGACGATGGAGAAAAAAAACAAAAACATCTGGTAATACTAGTCTATAACACATTTACAGAACAGGAAAATCTTGAATGAGAAGACATACTAACACATAGATATAGTGATGTATGTATGTAGGAATTGTTCAGGATACTAGCAGTGATAGGGGAATTCAGATGGCAGGGGAGAGTTTCAAAAATTCCTAAAGTCTATATATGTAAATGTGAGAGAAAAACTCTGATTGCACACTCAGATCCAGCTGTCTTCTACAAAGTCAGGTAGAGTGTGTCTGTATGACTGTGGTAGTGACATTTGCTTATAAGCTCCTTCGGGGATGAGAGTGATGTGAATTGTTCAAATTCACCTTATCAAAGTAAAAAAAAAAGGGAATTCACATTACCTCATCAAAATTCTGATGTGGCTACTATCTTTAACAATGTCAGTTGCCCATAGTGAATTTTTTTTAATCTCCAGAAGAGAAACATCCATAATGCTTCAAAAAGTTTTATAGTAGTATTTGCATGTTCTATGTATGCTAGAGCATACAAATATTGAACATGGTTTGAAACCCTTTGAAATACTATAACATCCAGGACATACAGTAGCTGAGTAAGGGGGCCACTAGCGGAGCCTTCCTGTGGTCAGTACAAACAATGCAGGATTTGGAAATCTGGAATTTTCCTCATTATTTTAGTAACATGAAGGAGAAATAAAGTGGGACACACATCTCTAGAATTGGCACATACAGTCAGATTTTGTTGCAGATTTTTGTGTGGCCAGGATAAGGCCTATTCAACATATTAAGAAACTAACAGTAATAACAACAGATCCCAATGCCATGCTTTGTCAGAGCAATTGGTTGTCCACATCAGTAGGAGAGAGGTTCACAGTTCAAACGTTAAGAAATTCAGCCTCTTAATTTACTCTGTTTATGCATTCAGGCCCCCTCATATTTTATCTGAAAATCCTAAAAGGTCAGCATTAGAAATTTCCCAGCTATATGTTAAGCTGTGAATGTCCACATTCCAGACAGACATATTCCAGCTGCTAGCACTTTTCCATGTATGAGGTTATTTATACAGCAGTTTACCAAACAAGTGCTGTACACTGTCCAGCACCTATAGGCATGGCCTATTTACCTGTCATTCGGACATTTGCTGAGAGCAGACCAGTCAATTTGTGGATTTATAAGAATTCCCCATGAAAGATACACAGATGTAGGTGTCAGAGAGCCAATGACAACTTGAAGAGGTTTCTGAGATGAATTCTTTTCTGGGTGAACAAAAAGGTGCAAGTTAGTCCTCATCCTAAATTAAGTGTGGAAAATTGAATAAGTGAAATAAAGACAGTTAAAGGTATAGTTATAGTACAGGTATAGTTAAAAGTGTATTTTCATCTGTTAATAGTATAACATTAGTTTTTCAATTCTAGTGGGGTTTCTCCAGGAAATTACACTTATACAGTATTAATAAGAATACTATATTTTCTTTTCAGATTAAAGTGAACCCTGGCAGACAGCAATAGGGTAGCAGTCATTGCTGACTTATTCATAAGGTAAATGTTCTTGCTTGGTGATTCTGGTCCATAGTTTCTTACCTTGGCAGTCACTAACATATTACAAACCCCTTAAGAATGGAACTCCAAACAAATACAACATTTACCAAACTGAATGGAACTTCAGGCATTTCTATATTTGTTGGGGGTGACTCATATGGGATTCATGTGGCATTACTGGCTATGCACCAACTAAGGTAAATAATACAGTTTTCCTTGTACTTTACGTGCACTGGGGAATGGACAAGGTTTTATTTACTAGTTCCACCAAGAGGATTGTATTCTACTTGCACTTCATTGAATTACAAGCAGAGTGCACTTAAACCACCTCCATACCAACCGCTCCTCGTGGGCACTAGGTGTGTCTAAAATATGACAATGCTTATTTGTATCAGGCTATATTTCCTTGGGAAGAATACTAATTTTTTAGAGACCCCTTTCGAAGCACAATAGCAATGTGTAAATGCATGAGGAATGGTGTCAGCATAGAAGAGTTTCCTTGGTTCAGATCCCACTTGCACTAGGGATACCAGCATGCATGTGTGATGTAACAGGTAGATATTGTCTGCTTCATGTATTGGCATTATTAAATCAAGCCCTTTAGCAGTATCACTTGTGGTCCCCCCATAACCTAATTGATTTTTTTTACTCTAGCTATATTGTTTGATACAATGTGTGTGTCTTGAAAACATTACCTTTGCATGTCTTATGATTTTCATTTGGCTTCACAGCTATTAAATATCTTGCCTCTGCCTCTGAAAAACATACAAAACAGCAGAAAATGCATGACCTGTGCATATGCATAACATAGTTTTTTTAATAAAGGAACAATATTTGCATTGTAATCATTTTTTTTTGTTCTTTAATTTGCATTAAAATAATTTGCAAGGCTGAAAAGAACAACCTGTTCCAACATGACTGTGCACCAGTGCACAAAGCAAGGTTCATAAAGACATGGATGAGTGAGTTTGGGGTGCAGGAACTTGACTGGCCTGCACAGAGTCCTGACCTCACACCTTTGGGATGAATTAGAGCGGAGACAAGTTGAAACAGTTATAGCTGCAAAAGGTGGGCCAACTCAATATTGAACCCTACGGACTAAGACTGGGAAGCCATTAAAGTTCATGTGCATGTAAAGGCTGTCATCCTAATACTTTTGGCAATATAGTGTACACTCTTCTGGTTTCTGAGGTGTGTTTTTTTTTCATAGAATGTACATGCACAAATAGAGGCAAATTGTCTTTAAGATGTCTGTATTTTTCCCTCCTGCTCTCCTCCAGAGTTAGAGCAAAAGTTCAGAGGAAGGCCTGAGGACAAACTGCCCATGTGCACAAATGTTAAAGAGACCCTGTCGCCAGATCATTTATTTTAACAACAATTTGCTCATAAGATATGTTCTTCTAACATATTTTAGAAATGTTACTTACCTGTATAGTCTACCTTATGTGGACATCCAAAAACCCTCAAACTGCTGCTAGGTGTTGCCATCTTGGATGTGATATCCGCAGCTCTAACAGACTCAGAGCTGTCACCCAAATGGCACTCAATAGTATTTCCCTTTGTGCTTCCCCAGGATCTATATAAAAAGCTATGTAGAAAGATGAGGGGAGGGGCAAAGGAGCTGGGCCAGAACAGACAGTAATTATACATTTCCTGAAAAGGAGAGGGATTTGACTTGCAAAGAGGGAGGAGGTTGTGCTAAAGAATTGACTCTTCCTAAAGTGTTTTTTAGCAAGTCCAGAGGCACATTGTAAGTAAATAAAAAAAAATGTTTATAGAAAGCAAAAAGGATGAAAATAATGCATGTAAATACCTTTTTCTCAGTTCTGTTACATAGATAATGCTCAAAGCAAACTCTTCTGCATTCAGTGTTAGTTTTATTTTTATTTCTTCTTTGCCACATCTGTATTTGTGAGGATTTCATTTAATTGCAGATTCCCAGCTGAATGTATACAATGACTCATAAACCACATGCTTTTATTAATCATACACATGGAAGAATATGAAACTGGTAATGACACAATCTTTACATTAATTTATTTTATTTCTGTTAAATTGTAAGTTCACCCAATACTAATTTTTCTTTTGTGAGTGGAGATCAGCTAGCTGAATTACTCCCTGCCTTATTTTATCTTTGAAGGACTCCAGCTGTAAGATCTTCCCACCAAAATTCTCACCCCACCCACCAAGAAGGTTTCAGTCTTTTGCTAGAATATTTATGAGTTTATAATAAAATAGAACCAAGAAAGGAGACTTTTTTTCTACTTTGCTTCATAAAGGCTCAACCAGGGGTAGGGAACTCCATAGTGAAAACATTTCTTTATGAATACCTAAGAGATGTATAAAACCAACATAAGATTCAGCCCAACTACCACCTACAAAGGCCCACTCAAACCTGATCACAGCAGTCAAAATGATTATCAAAATGTGTAGTACAACATCTATCATTGTAAAAAAAAGCTCCACTCTAAGAATATCAGTCCAGAAACAAACAACCTACCAACTCTGCACTAATGTGATCTTACTAACCCAAACCAGTCCAAAGCAAAAAAGCCCCAGCTGTGAGCAAGACTGGACCAGGAGTGGACTGACCATTTGGAAATTCGGGCACTGCTCGAGGGCCCAGGGTCAGTAGGGGGCCCCATGAGATGCCCCTGGTACCTTTTTCATAGGCTTTTTTGAGTTTGGGCAAGGACACAGGGGTCCCATGATCCCCTATTGCTCGGGGGGCCCCATGAGTTGTCAGTCCACCCCTGGACTGGACTATATGTTAATTAAATGAGATTCATGTGGTATTGACTAATTTATTGAAAAATTACCAAAATGAAAAATACAAAATAGAAATGTAGAAAAAAGACCTCTTTTTGCTTCACCAAAATAAAAAAAAGACAACTTTGGCATAACTGTATGCTCTAGCACTGTCCTGGCCCAGGCTTGCTCATGGCTGAAGCTAATGTCTGTCTTGAATTTTTTTTTAATAATCCTCTTCAAATAAAACTATCCTTTAAAATATATAGCCATTTTTTAAACATTTGAATAGAGTAGGGAAATGTTAGACCCTTGTAAGGTTTCTATTGCTGTCTGTTTCCCTGCTGGGGAGGTTCACTTTTTCTGTTTGTCCTCTGTGATCATTGTCACTGAAACAGAAAGTTATAGGAAATCCAAGATTGCACAGATTTCACCAAAACAATTGGAGAGGGTAAAGCCGGCCATTGACAGTTCGAATCTCGGCCAATTCAGCAGGAACCGGCCGAGATTCGAACCTTGTATGGGCAGGCTGAATGTACCCAAGTTAATCAATTGATCAACTTGGGTACGACCAGCCTGACAGGTTTTAAATGTGATTACTGCTAGCATCTATTGTAGTTGCTAGCAGTGATCACTGTGTTCTCCCAATGGAGAGAACACAGTGGCTTCTTGGGAGGGATTGCCCCATTAACACTCACTGAATCCAGCAATTTTCTTTCCTGCATCCTGTGATTTCAGGAAAGAAAATCGCACTGTCTATGGCCTGCTTACATCTTCCAGTTTGACAGGACACCTGTTTATGTAACAACTGTGTAAATGGGGAATTCCTCTCACTAAAAAGGTAATTTCACTCACATTGAAAAGATGTCCTCTTACTTCCACTGTGTGGTGTCATCCACACAAAAAGTGAAGAGAAATCTCTGTGATGAGACCCAGACAGCAAAAAAAACCTGGATAGTTGATAGGTTCCAATCCCAACCACGGCACCACCTGCCTGGAGTTTGCATGTTCTCCCTGTGCATGTGTGGGATTCCTCCGGGTAATTCGGTTTCCTCCCACACTCCAAATACATGCTGGTATGTTAATTGGATCCTGTCTAAATTGGCCCTAGTATGTGTATGTATGAATGTAAGTGAGGAACCTTAGATTGTACGCTCCTTGAGGGTTAGGGACTGATGTAAATGTACAATATATATGTAAAGCGCTGTGCAAATTGACGGTGCTATATAAGTACCTGAAATAAATAAATAGTATTATACCAAATAAGGGCTCAGAGAGTTACCATCATGCTACTAAGAGATTGCAACTTTTATGTGTTCACCTACAAAAATAGCTTAAAAGAGTAAAAAAACAAATGTGCTCAAATTGTAGAGAGATGCACAAATTCAGTACCATACATTGTTAACATGTGTTGGAGACATGGCTAAGGGCTTGTTCTCTCCACGACATATACACACACATTTGCATTGCCCTGTGCTAGTAATGTGCTTTGTGCTTTGATTTGATTTACTTCTTCCTTTTACTCTAGCACGCTGTAGTTCATTACATTACTGCCTGCCTCATTTTTTTTACAGTGCAGAAAAAGGCAGTGCATTGGAACTGTCACAATAAAAAAAACAAGGCTTTTCGTCCGGTCCATAAGGCTTTTTCTCTGGTACATGTGATGGGACTGTTTTGACCAACACAGTCCAACGCATGTGGTGTAAGCATTTACTTGAACAATAACATAAATTCATAAATACCTGTCACAGGTAAGTTATGGGACACAGAAGCTAAGTGGCAGCAATACAAGCTACAAAACTATAGATAGACATTTTTATGTTCTGACCAGATATAGTATGGTGTTTTAATAGTTTGGAATATCTTCTAAAAAAGCCTGTGTAGGCATCTGCTGTCCTTTACGGTCTGTAAATGGCACTGCTGCTTAATGTTCACTGAGATTATTTACATATGTACATCACTTCCTGTCCCTGCCATCTGGGTGCAGTGAAGAATGAAACAGAAAACTGGCTTTATACATAGAGGAGGTTATACTGCTGCTGTATTTCCCTCCAGACACCAGAAGAAGAGACTATTATGAGAGTAATCATATGTTTTAATTGTTTATTGGCAGCTGCCCATAGCTCCTTGAGTGTGTTTCTGATCCCTTGAAACAGACTTGAGTATCTCTGTCCTATTGTTATTATCTCACATGCAAAGTGGCAGATAGCTAGGTCTGTGCTATTGTATGTGTCAGAGGAAAAGACGAGGAAACCCGGGCAAATGCGCCAATACGCAATATGGCCACATCAATTCGCGCAAAGAAGTGCGCATGCGCATAGGTGGGCGACACGTAATCATGCATTCCTGTGCACGAAAACGCACCAGCACATGTAGGGTGCACTAATTGCTGACACTCAGTGGCCTTTATAAGGACTGCAGCTCTGCTCAGTGATTGCTGGATTATCGTCAGCCCCTCCCGTTCCTGTGTTCCTGAGATTCCTGCTGATTACCCATTACCGACCTGGCTTGATCCTGACCTTGTTCCTGTCTGCTGCTCTGTGTATGACCCCGACTTGCTCCTGACCTTGTTCCTGTCTACAGCTACTCTGTGTATGATCCTGGCTTGATCCTGATATTGCTCTTGTCTGCTGTCTGCTGTTTCATATTGATCCTGGCTCTGGCTACTGACTAATCTACCCATCCTCCAGGATCCACGTGTTCTTTGGAGAAACTCATTCGGCAACTGGAGCACCCACGGGTTCCATCTCATCAGGCATTTCCAAGCAGCAACACCACTGGCAACCCGTGCTTCTTTGGGCAGTGCACCTCCTGTTTCCATCTCCAGGGGAGCACTGCACTTAGCCGCAAGGGGAGCCTTCTCTCTATTGCAGCCTCCGATCAGGCACGTGACAGTATGTGTGTAGTGGCCACCTTCTAGTGTATTAGTAGGTAAACCTGTTTATTACAATAGAATTATATTCAGCTCCTGTTATTTAGTTAACTCTACTCCTTCTGGGATTCTGTAGCTAGTTTTAGCTTAGGCTTCGATATCCAGCATAGGGTAGAGTCAGTTTATGCATTCAACAGCCTCTT